TTTACAACCCTGTTTTAAAGTGCGACACTTAATCTTCAAAAATTAAAAAAGATAAATTTATCCTTATCATAGTGTTCGCTTTATTGTTTCTCAGAATTTTCTTGAAGAAAGTGTAATAAATCAGCCTTTGTCATCAAGTATACAGTCGATTTTATTGTATAAAAAAGGATAATATACAAACTTATCTCCTAGAAATACGTTCATTCTCACACTGTATTCGATCTTCATTTGTCTCTCTGCCCCTATTAGAATGCACTTCTTCATTGACTGAATTTACATTATTCACTTGTGAAGACAAAGGACCATTGCTCTCACGTTTTACCATGGTAGGCAAAGGAGGAGTGGGCGCAGATATTGTATTCTTAATGGTAGTCGTTAAGTTCGGTGGTTGATAAGTTGCTAAACTCTTCAAACCAATTACTTCGGGATTTTCTTTCCAGAAACGGTCACCGATAATATCGTCTACCAAAGGAACTATTGCAGGTTTCAATCTTCCCATACCATCGGGCACTAATTTTCGAATAAGTGTCGTACCCTTTCGAAACAGAGGCGGTTCATTATTATAGTTTATACCAAATTCTTGAAAAAGCAACTCGTTCTTATGTGCTGCCAGAGTGCCTCTAAGTTTTTCCTCTGCCTATAATATCCACAAAATAAAAGTGTTAAAACAGGTAATTTGATTATATTGCATATTTTTAACGATAATCATCATAACTCTGTTACTGAAAAATAATATGATTGTCATAAGACTTGTACAATGATAGTAAGTAAAAAATAATTAATTTAAGGTATCAGGCTCGTAATGATAACAACTAAAAAAAGATATAAAACAGGCTAAGGAGCCAAAGCTAGATGCTTGTGTTGACATATGTATTTAACTTATAATGAGAGTATATAAACGTTTCAGGCTGTGATCAGACCTTCGGTATGACTAAAACATTATTACGTGTCGCAGTTACAAAATGATTTTATTACTGATAAATAAAATATATATCTATCCACTTAATTTTTCTACATAGTCACAATCTTTTTCCATGTTTAGATTGAAACACCAGTTTTGTCTTTTCCAAAAGAATCCATCATCTGGATTCTATTCCGCTGCTTTTTGAAATGAAAAAAAAAATGTAGAATTTCATATAACGTCAGGAATCATATTCACAACAATGCGTGCTCACATATTCTTGTTTATACAAAAAAAATTTAACAATTTAAGTGAGAAGGTTTAAGTATCTTCTATGTAGCCTATATATTTAAGCCTACATATAATACATTTTTACATTTTTCTTTATCGCAAAAAAATACTTTGGTCCTCAATGATTTAATATTGAAAGTAGCAGTGCTGGATTTTTATGCAGGAAACATAAAGAGCTAAGGCTTTAGTACAAAAGTAGTGTTTAGAGACAACTGATGAATATGTAGGAAAGTAAAGTAGATATTTTTCATCTGCAATAACAATTTTTTTAATTAATTCCTTTTTAATGACCAATTACTCTTACATTTGAAACATATATATATATATACCTCACTGATTTTTTCTTAATTAAATTTTTTATTTATTTTGTATTTATATTTGTTCTGTGTTATAAGACTGACAATTATGTCGGCGCGCAGTTCTATTTCGAATTTTATCACGATATGTGACTTTCGTGAAATAACTTTAGACTGTTTATTGCGATAAACACTACCATATGCCTCGGTGGTCGAATTGGTGAGACGCCCGACTAGAGAGAGGGAGGTCCAGATTCAAACACACTGGCTGAGGTAAATTTTTCGCAATAAATTAAAAGAAATTAAAATCATTTAGATACTAACATCTTGTCTTGGCTCTTATATCCTTTATTACTTCACATTCGTGATTTCAAAGCCTTATGAATTTTATTTGTTGAATTTTGTATGTCTTAAAATTCTATCCCTTATTATTTACATTTACCTGACTCGGAGTTAATTTTCCCTTCAAAATAAGATTCCAAAAGCAAGTATTATACAAGTTATTGACATGTACATCAGCCTGTCGCCAAGATAGATAATCCCTTAAATTCTTATCGGTTGGATACAACACAACACGAGCATCAAATGAGGGTGGATAATATAACTCTTTGCCTCTGAAGAAGTGGGGCCAGTGATAAACATACGCCGAGGCAAATAACGAATTTACGTTGGACATTAATTTTGACGCTGAAACATACAAACATTAAATACAAAAAAGTTCTTGCAGACGCATTGCCTTGATAATCAATTATATAAAGTGTTTATTATGTACGGCGCGGTGCATTAATTCGGTTCGGGTCGTATCATCAAAAAGTACCTATGTTTAAATAATCAAGTAATTTTTGCTCGTCATGCATTTTGCTAAGTATTACCCGAATCGAATTAATGCACCGTACTGTACCATCTACATTTACAATGCTCACAAAAGAAAGAATGTCGTAAATCGAACTTTGAATTGCTGATTCAAGTAATGGTCTATAAAATAACAGTTAATTCACAATTCAATTGTATTGTTGTGCCGTTTTTATTTAATATCACAAATTATGATGTACAATTTAAATCTCTCATAATTTCTAACTAATTGCAATCTTCGTTAACTTTCCTTTTTTTTCTCAATTCTCTTTTGCGAGACATATGATCACATAATGCTTTTAAATCTGATACTACATTACTATTTCGTCAAGATAAGAATGTGAAATTTGTCCAATGTGACGAGACACGGTAGTGTCTCCCGCCAAGTATAAGCTAGCTAGAACCGCGCGCGCGAGACCGACCGTGTAGTTTACGCGAGTATAAAAAGATAACCGTATTCTTGACTGCATACAAGTATTCCATACATTTACTTTCCGTTTAAAAATTATTTTATTTAAAAAAAAGATCTAACATTAACATTTAAAGATTCTCAAAGGGATGCATGTTTTTATAGTTTTAAAAATATGAAAAATTTTCAAG